CTCCAAATATTTTTTTTACTTTCCAAGCCTTTCAATACTGCAGTATGTGGAGCTGTATTGTCCTGTCTCTTGTCTCAAAAATTCTTGAACTTAAACAAAGAAAAAAACTCAAAAGAATTTGTGCTGAAAAACTGGGAAAATGACTCTGTGTCAGAGTTGTGGGCCGGCTGACCTTTTGAGACAAGCATTGTATCCACAGAGTATAAATCTTGAGATCCCAGCCATGGCTGGGATGTGGGGATGGTGGGGATGGCCACCACCCCAGAGGGGACCCAGAGCTCCTGTGCCCAGGCAAGGACAGTGGCACAAGATCCTGAGCAAATGTGTCAGGATTTAACTGCAGTTAAAACCACACATGCACCAGTGTCTCCCTGCCTGGCTGACTCCAAGCATCTTGTCTTCCTATGGAAGGGCCAGAAGTTCCAGCAGCTCTTTGGTCAGCTGGAGCCATAGGGGACAAGGTTAATTCGAGGTGCTGTGCTAGCTAGAAGGGATTTTCCAGCAGAAGGAGTGTCCTGCTCTGCAGCACAAGTCCCACTCTTCTCCCTGTGCTCCAGTGCTTCAGCTCAGGTGCCAGGGCTGTGCTATGTCTCTGGTAATTGTCTCGTTCTCCCTAATTAAACATGCCCAGCTCTGGATAAATTAAGGCAGTAGGTTGTGTGCTCAAAGGCAGTGGATTTTTATTTTTTTTTTCCACAGTTAGTGTGGAAGATTAATATGTTCTAAGGCATCAGCCACCAGGTTGCCTTCCATAGCATGACCTCAATTAGAAATTAGTTCAAGGATAAAGAAATTGCTGGGATTCAAACCAATAATCTGCCCAAAGCTAGCATTTGGTCTCTGAAAAAATTCCATTACTTCAGTGTCTGTGTTATGCATTTGTGCCTTTTTCTTCAGGTATCTCACATTTTGCTCTCAAACCTTTGAAAATCCAGAAAAAAAAAAACATTCAGAAAGACACTGCTATAAATAGTAGAAGATTCTGTCATCCATGTGTCTGGGAATAGTTTCATTCACTGGTTTGATTTTTAGATAACATACAGATGATACACAGGCACTCCCAGTACCTGTCCCTGAGTCACCTGTGGGTACTAAAGCATCATGTAATGGTAGCTCCTCAAAACCACAGAAAACTCTTTATATTAGCTTTTTATGGGACCTCTTTATATTAGCTTTTTTTTGGAGGTGATAATCTGTCAAATATGAATCCTGTCACCCCACAGCAATGGATGTGAATTATCTTCCCAGAAAGCTGAGATTTCCTTTTCAGCCTTTCTGATTGTTCAAGAAATACAAAGAAATACAACCTCATGAATGAATAGCTGCCGAAAAAGAAAAAACCTGTTCTAATTTTGGGGGTGAACAGGGAGGGAGTGGGGCACAGGAGCTGCCTGTGCATCCCAGGGCCACGCTCCCCTTCTCCCACCCTTCTGCTGGTTTCACCACGTGTGGGGCTTCACAGGTTTGACACAACAGAACTGACACAAATGTCCCCTGCCATCCAGGGCAGGTGGCTGCATTTGGGGGTAATTCCTTGGCTGAGATTAGATTCACTGATCTCTTCACACCTGAGGATGATTTACTTCCTTTCATCCTTCCAGCAGGGAGTACAAATGCAAAACTTTCAGCTCAGAGGTATTTTTCCAAAGAAAATTATCTTCAGCTGTGGTCATCGGTGATTTGGGAGCCCCTGCCAGTGAGATTTTGCCTTGAGCTGATTGCCTTGGCTGAGCAACTGAAGAGCAGCTGGAAGGTGGCCAGAAATGGCTTTTGATTTTTGCTTTTAAAAGAAAAAGAAATAGAAGAAGAGAACCGAACCAGCATGCTTTGGTAAGGCAGAAGGTTTTTGTGATTATTCTCCCTGAGAAGGGAGACTTCCCCTTGGAGGGGCCTGATTCTGGGAAGTGAAGAAGAAGCAAAAGGTGGTTGCTGAAATGAGAGTTTCCCCTGTGGCTGAGCCGTCGTGGAGCTCTGGAGGAGCTGACCATGCCTTCACCCCAGCACTGGTCAGCCCTGTGCTGGCTGCCCACGGCCCCCCACCTGCTGGAACTGTTCCAGTTTGGTGTTTCTGCTCCTGTGAAAAATCCCCACGTGGAGCAGGCTGGTGGAACAAACAATCCCTGTTTTAATCAGATAATTTCCATGGTGTGTGGTGGCAGCAGAGGAGGCTGCCAGGCTACTCCAGCCACTGGGATGGAGGGCTGCAAGCACCATTATGTGCCATTATCACTTTCTGGATAATGTGTACACTTTCACCATCACAAAGTTTTTCTCCTTCATTTTTCATGAGAACTGGCATTAGATTAATGGTTAAGCCATGGAAGAAATGTAACGCCATGCCAGTCTGATTTATTGACCACTTAGTGCTGATGAAGCTTCAAACAAGAGTCAGACAGATGTTGCAGTTGCATTTTTCTTCATCAAAACCAAGGACTTGTTGTGTTTAACCACTTGTTGCACCATCTCCTGCTTACCCCCCAGCAGCAGTGGAGCAGTTCCTCTGCCACCCTGAGGAGGCAGGAGAAGCCAAGGAGCCTTGTCCAGGTCAGGGACAGATGGCAACACCTTCCACTCGGGTTTGGGGGGAGCAGAGCAACTCTGCTGAGGCTGCAGGCACTGGGGTGATGGGCAGATTTCTAGCAGGAATGTTTCCAGAGCCATCTGCAGCCCAGGGCAGGCTCCCCTCATTCCCCCCTGCCACCCCAGGGAAGGGCTTCTGCCCTGCTGTGTCCACTGTCCTGATGCCTTTCCTGTGTGGAAGTTACATTTGTAGTTTTTCTTTCAGTCTTTCGCATCTCTCTTGCTCTCCTGGTAGGTCACCACAAATAGTGATTTGCTGCTAATTGTGAGTTTTCCAAAACATATGTATGCTGTTCATTCATGTCAAAACATTTCAATTCACCAAGTAGATTGGCATTCTTGAGATTTGTCATTCTGAGGTCAGCTTTTAGCTGTAAGCATAAGGAACAAACCTGCTTGGTTTTAGCTTGTTTTATATGCTTTTATGTATAAAAAGTAAAAATTCTAGTGCCTGTCCACTTGCCTGTGCTGCACTGAAGCCAGGAGGCCCCATAATCCTGACCTGCTTGGTGACAAACCAGCACTGCCTCTTTCCTGTGCAGTACAACTCTTTTAGCACTGGCTGCAAGAATTTGATACTGCTTTCTCACAGAATCTTCACTGAGAATCCCCTGCTTGCAGTTCTGTCTATCGAGGGGGAAAATGCAAGTTCCTGCTTGCATATTTTCCTAACCTAAGGAAATTTTTCCTAAGCTCTTTCGAGCTTGTCCTCCAGACAGAGGGATGTATCTGGTCACCAAGGGGATGCTCTGCGGGGCTGCTCTGCTTTTCATCTTGCTGTGCACGGGCACCAGTGGCCTCCCCAGTGCCAGCCTGGAGGAGCTGGGAGCCGTGGCCAGCCCCCCTGGTCCTGGGGATGTGCAGGATGCTCCCTGAGTGCAGGGTGCACGAGAGGGTCGTGGTCACCCCACACACAGCAGTGCTGGGTGCCAGCCTGCCCCTGCCCTGGGCTGCTCTGGGGGCAGCTCCAGCGTGCTGGGCTTCAGTGCTGTGCTTTGCCCACCAGAATTTCCCTCCTCAGGTATCCTTGGGGAAGGTGTCCCTGTCCAGCTCCAGCTCTCCCCTGGTTTCATGAGCAAGTGCTCCCATCAGCACAACCTGTGCAAGTGGATGAGTGGTTGTGTTCCCACTCCCCCTCGGAACAGGGCTCTAACAGCATTAACGAAACATTAGAGTTTTAATTACACCATTATCCTATTTATTTTTATAAATAATTCCAAAGCAGTCATTAAAGTTTGCGAACTTAGGAGTAAATGACTTAAGGGAAAGAAATCATCTCCTCAATCTTGTTATTATCTATTGAACAATCTCCCTGGGATGCTGTTGGGGAACTGGTGGAGTTGTTGCTGCTGCTGTTAGGATGATTCATTTTCTCACAGGGTGGTAACAGAGCTCAGCTCCTGCTCCACGTGGTGGGACAGCACCGCAGGGCACCAGAGCAGGGTCTGTCCCTGCAGCCCCGGGAAGGGAGAGGGGAGCGGGGTCAGCTGTGGGGTCAGCTGTGGGGTCAGCTGTGGGGTCAGCTGTGGGATCAGCTGTGGGATCAGCTGCAGGGTCAGCTGTGGGATCAGCTGTGGGGTCAGCTGTGGGGTCAGCTGTGGGATCAGCTGTGGGGTCAGCTGCAGGGTCAGCTGCAGGGTCAGCTGTGGGATCAGCTGTGGGGTCAGCTCAGGGGTCAGCTGCAGGATCAGCTGTGGGATCCACCTGCAGGATCTGCTCTGGGATCCACCTGTGGGATCAGCTGTGGGATCAGCTGAGGGATCCATCTGCAGGATCAGCTGTGGGATCAGTTGCAGGATCAGCCTGCGGGAGCAGGCAGCTCTGTCCTCCTGCAGCTGTCCTGCAAGGGGCTTTTCCAGTCCCAACCCTCTGCAGTTTGCAAACATCTTCAAAAGAGAAGGAATTACAGGCTTGTCTGTAAAGAGCCCATGTTTTGGGTGCTCTGTAACACTGTTTGTGAGCCTCCTCGGCTCCTCCCTCCTTTCTGTCACTGTATGGAGAGTGTGGCTGTTCCTGATGTTCTCAGGTGACTTTCTGTATATTCAAAAAAAGACTGATGTGAACCAGGACTGATGGAAGCATTGTCTCAAATGAACAAAAGGTCCTTTAAACCAAAGCATATTACCTGGTGTTCATCGTCAGTGATGTTCATAGGAATATTCCAGGTATTTGGTGTTGCAAGGGTTGGAAAAGAGGTTCATGCTGAGCATACCAGTGGAGCAGGAGAGTTGCAAGCCAAGGGCCCTCAGGGTGGGGGAAGCCATGTGCAAACTGTCAGCCACTCCTCTTTTAAAGGATTTGAGGAAATCTCATACAATCTGGGGTCTGCTCATGATGTTTGCTGCCCTGGTTTTAATTAGGAGGTAGATGCAGAGTGTGCTGGCCTCAGCAACATAACTCTTGCTCTGGTGTCCCTGCAGAACCCAGACATTGTGTTGGTGCACTACCTGAACGTGCCGGCCATCGAGGACTGCGGGAAACCGTGCGGCCCCATCCTGTGCTCCATAAACACCGACAAGAAGGAATGGGCAAAGTGGACAAAAGAGGAGCTCATCGGGCAGCTCAAACCAATGTGTGAGTATCTGGAGCTGGTTTTGCTTCTTTGCTGTGTATTTAGAGTCCATTGTGTCTCACAGCCAACAACCATCCTGTGGAGGAATCATTTGTCCATCCAACTCAGCTTGCATCTGCACGCACTTTATTTCCAAAATTAAACAATTCTGGAAGGCATGGTATGAGAGCTGCCCAGACTGTCCCCAAAGAGATCTCCTCTGCACACTGGGGGAAAATTGTACCTATGTTCTTGCATGTTCTAGGGCTGTTTGTAGGCACCTGCTCACTTGCCAAGAGCCTGTGTGGTACGGGCAGGTGGATTCCCCCAAAGGCACTCCCTGTTTGGGTGGTCATTGTCAGGTGACAGTGGGGTGCTGTAGCTTACAGCCCCCATAGAACTGAGTGTGTTGAACTGAGCATCATTTCCTACAGTTTTGAACTTTGCAGCCTAAAGAGAAGGCTGCTTAGAGAAGGTGTGCAGAGTGATGAGGAAGTTTGCCCTCAGACAGGCAGTTCTTTGAACCCCTCTGCATCTGCCTTGTGTATAATATTTTCCTTTGCATCACAGTTATATTGTGTGTCTTCCCCTGGAGAGCACATTCCAATGTGCACATGAACATCTTTTTGCAATGAAAGAAAAATCAGACATAAAGTGGGCCCATAACCAAGAGAAAATCAACTGCAAAAGCCACAATACCAAATGTGAGTCAACAAATACCAGGTCTGCTTCTGTTCCTGCCCCCTGCCCCTGCCTGGATGCTGGTGTCATGCCCAGCCTCCTGTAATTAGAGGTCACAGCCATGGAGTGAATCCTGATGTGTGTCTGTCGTCCGTGAAAGATCAGCCTTGTGCTGACCACAGTGTTGGTAATCTGAGTTGCAGTCCTTTGTTGCATCCTGAACTCTGCAGGCCCCTGTATTCCTTTTCCGCACAAAGCTGAAGGGCAGAGGAGGAGAGAAAATTTGCCCCTGGGGCTGATAAACTAGACAGAAATCCAGGATGTTGGCATAGCTGAGACTGGACAAGTACCTTAGCATTAAACAGGAAAGGAAGCAGCAGCCTGTTAAAAAATCTGCAGTGCATCAAGAAAATTATGTGAAAACTACAACGAACTCGCCGTAAATTTAATAACACTTGGCTCTTTTATGTCTCAGGAGGGAAGAGTGAAATTCTGCGCAATTATTCAGAGTATATATGCATGTACACGTCTCTTTTTATGGGTACATATCCTGGGAAACACATCCTTAGAAATGTAGCTACAATAAAAGCTTTGTTTTCTGATCAGACCTAGAAAACAAAGAGGACACGGATAACCGTGTTTGGGGAACACAGAGGGGCACTGCTCGCCAAGAAGCCATCAGATTTGGTTCCAGTATAGGGTGTGCCATGAAATTCTGGAGCCAAGCACATTAGTTTCATCACATTTTTGCATTAATCACATTCTTTCACAGACTTCACAGTTTGATTGCCTGATGTTTCCAAATTTCTCTGCCCTAAAGCAGATTTGTCAATGGCTTAATCAAAATGTTGTGCATGGTGTCGCTGGTGCAGTGACAGCCTCACCCTTTTACCTGCTCTGTTGTGGGGTTTGTTGTGTTTTATTCCTCTGGGCTTGGAAGCTGTGTGGGGGTTTTGTTGATTATTTTGTATTCTTGGTTGCTGTTTTCCATGAGAATTTCTCATTTAAGGCACGTTAGTGGTGATTGCAGCCAGGGTGTGTGCAGAGGTCCAAGGCCTCTGTACCTGCAGGTAGGTTCCCATTTCAGACCACTGACGTCATTCAGGATTAAGGGAGAGAAGCTGATACTGGTTCTTTGGGGAAAATGCTTCCTCCTGGTCAGAGGTTGGTGGCAGTGTCCAGCTCTTGACTCACTGACAAGTGCTGTTTAAGTCCTACTCAGCCTGGGCTGAAGTCGGGTGTTAAAGCTGTTGACCTCTGTCAGGTATTAAAGCTTTTCTGTCAGAATGGAGGGTAGCAGACAGTCAGTGTGGGAGCATGTTCTCTTGGCCTGCAGAACTAAGAGCAGTGTGGCAGATGGCTGGCAGGGTGAGCAGCATCAGTCCTGGAGTCCAAGCTAGACAAATACATCAAACTGTTTTTCCTGAAATGCAGAGAGACCCTGGCTGGGAAGATCAGGGAGTTTGTTTACATTTCTTGCATCCATAATTTGCTCAGCTCCCTTTTCCTTCCCTACTGCATCATCCCAAAGTCAGTCCAGGCTTCAGCAAGTCTGCAGCAGCCTCAGGGACAGGGACCAGCCCCTGGTGCCAGCCTTGTCACCCCCCTGAGCAGAGCAGGGTGCTGAAGTCTGAGAGATGACTTCTGCCCTGCTCCTGAGGGAGACTGCTGAACCCAGAGAGAGCTTCTTGGCTGGCTGCAGGGGTGGTGTTTGCTCATCCTGTCACTGTGCTTGCACTGCTGGTTATGGACTAAAACCCCACCTTTATGGAGTGGCCATAGAGCTCTGAGAGCTTTGTGGAAAGAGCATTAACTTGTTCTAACATAGCTGTGTGAACTAATTAAGAGACTGAAATGAACCCATCTGAACATCCATGAAAGGTAAATGCTGCAGATGCTCTAAGGATTTGAGGTTTTCTCAACACCTCCAGCTGCGTTGAGACTGTAAATAATTAATTAATCAGCCTGACTTCAGCTTTCATGGCTTTGGAGTTGTAATCTATTTGTCAACTGCCTTCACACTGTCCATGACCTCCTGACTGCCTTCTCTGGACCAGCACTGTTGGCTTGTCAGACCTCAACCTGGCAGTCCTCAAGACTGAAGCATGTGAGCCTGGAAAGCCTCTTACACATTCCTGACCTCCCACAGGATGATTCCTTTCTCCTTGCAGGCTTGGAGAGGAGGCCCCTTGTCTCAGAGTGTCAGCAAGGTCAGGGAGCCCAGGGAAGGCTGTGACACCTCCACTGATGCCAGAGCTGGGATAATCCAGCTGTTGGGAGCATCTCAGCTGGGTGTCTCAATCAAAAGGGTTGTCGTGTGTGTGTGTGTTGCTTTGGTATGAATGCAGCTTTTGGGTACATTTGTGTAAAGTAAATAGCTATAATCCATGAAAATTCTGCAGGAATGTGGTCCGAGACACCTGTAAGTCATTTCAGGATGCCTGGTGTGAAGAATGAGTCTCAATTTGGCATAACTTTCAATTTCCTCCCCCCCTTGTGCCCCATTACAGTCTTGCTTTGAGATTTCTCTGAATAGATTAGCAGATGTCCTTAGAGGCATCTGGTGGTAAAAGCAAATTCAGTGGCAGAATCCATCACAGCAGAATTCTGTATATAAACTCCATATGATCAGCAAATTGTGGGCCAGCTCATGTTGGGGGTTTCTCCAAATCATCCCCTTTTGGCTCTCTCATCCTTCAGCTGGCAAAGTATGACTTAAAAGCTCACAGCTGGTGCTACGTTGCAATCCTTGTTCCAGGTCCACTATAATTAAGAGCTGTCTTCCTTTCAGAGGAAAAGCTTTTTGCATTTCCCTGCTGCATAGGAACTGAGGGCTCCTGTTTGTGCTGCCTGCACGCAGCCACAGCTGGCAAGCTGGAAATTCCATGTGTGCTCATCAGTCCATGGGCAAGGGCTGCTCTTGCCTTTTCCCAGAGTCCCTAATTCTGTGTCAGTGAAGCCACCAGGCCTCCTGGAGGTGACCTCAACCTGCATCCCTGCGTTGTCATCACTGGAGAAGGCATCAAACGCCTGTAGCTCGGAACAAAACTCAGCAGCAATTGGAATTAATGCAGTTTGAAGAACTGAGTTGTTGGGAGTTTTACCTTGGCTTGAATTTATATTCAATTTCAGTAACTCTATTTAAGGGTTGGGGTTATATTTCATCTTAAAAGATCATTTGTACAAAAATGCTACATGGGATGAATTTCACAATTCCCCAAGCAGTTTGTTTGAGCTCCAACGTACCACCCTCAATGGAAACTGAAGCTTGCCAGCTTAGCTCAGCTGACCACATAGAAAGCAATGTGGATTCTTTAAAAAAACATTGGATTCAGTAATGCTGACATCCAGTTTTACTGCAACAGTCTGAGTTTTTATTAAAAAGAGAACATGATAGAAGGTGCTAGATAGGTTCTTACATCCACCCACCCCTTGGACTTTGAGTACCCCTGCTCACATTGTCTGTGTGGCCAGCATCACCCTCCTGCTCATCAGCCTCCTGCTCATCAGCCTCCTGCTCAGCTTCTCATCTTCCCCCAGCCCCTTCACTCCTGCAGGTGTGCAGCTCATGCAGGAATACACTCTTCCTCTCCCTCTGAGATCTGCAGTGGCCTTTATGTCCCCAGAGGAAGCTTGATCCCGTGCCTACATGGGCCACTCTGTAGGGAAACAGTTTCACTTGTGCTCGAGTTTCACCTACCATAGACAGTCCCACTTTGCCGAAAGAACAAAATTAGGAACTGTGTTTCAGCTGGTGCCTTTCGGCTGCGTTTGGGGACACCAAAGTGAAATAATCCCACTGAGTGCTGGCAGCAGTCCAGTAGGAACCCACCATTAGCAGAAATGGAAACTAACTTGAGGAAACCTAAACCAAATAGTTTCCTGTCCCCTAAAACTTGGGCGTTAAACCAGATGCAGCAATTGCTGAAAAAGTTTTTCATGGAAAGAGTGATAAAGTTCTGGAATGGCTGCCCGGGGAGGTGGTGCAGTCCCCATCCCTGGGTGTGTTTTAACAAAGCCTGGATGTGGCACTGGGTGCCAGGGTTGAGTTGAGGTGTCAGGAACAGGTTGGACTCCATGGTCTTGAAGGTCTCTTCCAATCCAGTGATTCTGTGATTCTCTGAGGAGACTACAGGCACGCCAGCCTTTGTTTCCTGTTCTTCCTTAGCATTTTATCTCCTCTGTTAACACTTGGCAGACTGGCAGTGACTGGCAGTCTCAGTCCTAGAGCATCTGCAAAGGTGTCAGTCCAAATCTTCATGGCAGTGCCACAGAGATGTGGCCTGGGGAAGGATGGCTGGGACCTGGGGAAGAGCCCTGGGGAAAAGGGCTGGGAGCCTTG